TTTTTTTTTTTTTTAATGTAATTTCTTTAATTTTTATTGTTTTAAAAAGAAAAAAACATATTTTTTTTTATTTCATTTAATTTTTAGACTACTTATTGCTAAAAGACAAACAGAATTGGCAATTGTCCTACGAAAGACTGCAGTGAGTTGAAATGTAAAATTTCGTTCCCTCAGTGATCATTCTTCGACTTAAGGTTCTCATAACCGAAAATTCAAAAATTGCCACAGTTCGGTTCGGCTTGGACTTCTAAAAGTGAAGCTCGGTTATTCTATACAAGTTTAAATTATAAAAGCCAATATTAAAATATGAGGATAATAGTAATTCTAGCTTCTAAGATTGTCGAATCGAAATAAAATAAGGGTATGTACATACATTGGGGCGGGTGGATTTTTTTGGACACTGACATGGGACTTAAATAAAGTTGGAGTTTGCCAAATTGCGAAAATAGATTTGAAAGTTTTAAGAAAAAGATATTAAGTACAAGCATGTCTTTATACAAAATTAAGGTACTTCTTTACGACAGTACAGCAAAATCCTAAGGAACCTATTTTCGCAATTTGGTCAACTCCAAGTTGATTTTAGGCTCATGGTATCTTCGGTGAATTCAATTAGAATTACACGTAGAATCCTTCTGTGCTATATCTAGTCGAAAAAATCTGCCATATAAATTTACCCGTCCTAATGTATATATGTATACATATAAATACACCTGTTATCAAACACCACATACATACATACTCGCAGATATATTTACATATAAATACATACAAGGATAAACATTAGGATAGCGTCTGTTAGCAATTGTCGGTTAAGGTCAAGTAGCTGGCCGGCAGGTAGTCGTATTGCCTCCTCATCTAACGGGTATATTCCTAATTTCATGAAGCTTCTTCCGCTTATTGACTTTTAACGAGTTAAGCACTAGCTACGCAAGTGTAAACAAAAGTGTAAAAAACAAATATCATCGCTAATAAAACTTATGTATTTTTAATGCTTACACTTGACCGCCTTCTCTAGTCGGCAGGCAGGTCTTCGCCACAAACGACAGTGAACAACGACATAGTATGATTTTGGTAATTATAGTGAACGGTTTTACTATTTTACTGTGCTGCTATTGTACTTTTGAATTTAATAAATAGCTTAAATTTACAAAATTCAAATCAAAAATGTTCAATAGTTATAATCGCCGCAAAAAGCACGATACAGTTTTTCTAAATGTAAAGCCCACTTTTAACGGCCAAGATGGTGGACTGCGAAAGTATTCCACTGGGTTACTCGATAATGAGGATAATCCATATTTGAATGCCAACATTAGTCGGGGTAGTCGAGCATCGGTCGGAACTACAACTACATTGAATGAAAATTTTCGACCAGTAAGTAAATAGTAATGTTTATTTGAAAATGTTTTTTTTTAATAAAAAAACAATTAAAAAATGGTGTTTCAGTACCTACTAGTACATCAACGATTTCTCAGTCGCAGTTCAGAAGGTATAAATATTTAAATATTTCTCTGTATATTCGCTCAAATCTTGAGGTTTGGTTTCATCGTTCACTGAGAGAAATATTAAATTAAACTATCAGGCAGTTTCACGAAAGTAATTTTAGCGCAAACTGATCTTTTATTTGCATTTAATATGGAAACTTACAGAAAAAAGAAATAATTTTTCACTTAAATTGCTTTCGTGAAACCGGCAGTTACATAATCGGTCAGCACCATTTGAAGTAAAATTTGCAGGAGCAGGCCTTCTCCTAACCCGATGAACTTTCTGTTGATAACTCAAAGAACCACATTCCCAGTCATTTGAATAGCACACCCTTTTGAACCTCAGTATGTAAAGCTTTCCTTTTGTTTGTTTAATATGCATTAATTTTGTAATTAATTTTTTAAAAATGTCGTATGTGTAAATCCGATTTTAAAATTTTATACAAATTTAAAAAAACATGCCAACAAAGTGCGCTATCCTAATGAACTGCTGTGAATAAATTAATAATATTTTTAGAAAAATTTCAGATATGCAGTTTTGTAGAACATTAAATTTTAGTGTAACAAAGTGCAAGTATCAAGTGGCTACAGAATACCGTTGATTTTTGAAATTTTGGTTAGTTGACGGTGTTACACATATTCTTCCATACAAGAATTTTGTCGAGCAACATATTGTTGTTGACATATTTTTATTTTTATTTTTATTTTATTTTTTAATTGTATGAAATTTTAAATTCCAGCTCTATTTGTGTGTATATCCAACCTTGCGAGTGGTTCATTGAAAGAGCTGAATATTTTCGAACTGAATACACAAATCTCAATTATGTTTGCACCCTTCTCTAAATATATTATGATTTTAAATAAAAAAAAATATAAATATTTCTTTTAGAATGTTTTCTACAATAACATTGCGCCAATACAATGGTTTCTGCATATAATTGGGGTCTTACCCATTACAAGACGTGAAGCTGGCAAAGCTAAATTTCTGCTAAATTCAATAGCTTTTGGATATTCGTTTGTGTTCTTCATACTCCTGGCGGTAAGATTTATAAGTTTTAGTAAAAATCTAGTAAAATAACATAGGTTTGAAGAGCTTAATAAAGTGACATCCTCATAAAAATTTTTGATTTACATATAAAGTACTTATTTTTCATGAATTTGGGTGTAAATTTGGAGAGGAGTTTTGTGTCACAAAAATGTTCGGCCTTGATATGTACGTCTGCAATCCGATTTTAAAGTGATGTATAAAAAAATATTTACATTTACGGCTCTATGGTGTATCAGTGACGAATTCTTGGCACAGTTTTAATGAGGGAAAAATATATGAAAAAGTTTTAATTTGTCAGTAAAAAAATGTTTGTCACCGATACGAATTGTGGTATTAGAATACCGCCTAATATACTGTCGACATAAATTATCTCCAAACAATAAACTAAATATTTAAATTAGCTCAATTTCTGCTCATATAAATTTGATTTTAGTTAACTTGAAAATAAAATTTTAATATTTGATGAATTTTTCCATGATCCTGAAGAGACATACTTACAGCTCTCAAAAATAAATTTTCTGGTATGTTTCCAAATTGAAAAGAGAAAATTCGATTTATGCTGATTTAAGGTCAAGTAAAGTGAGAACATGTTTGTGAGCTAAAAATCCACTCTAAGTTACAAACTTTTTTATTTTATATAGCCACGGACCCGATTTGATATACATATAGATACATTAGACTATGTCAAATAAAACGAATATATTTTTCTTTCGCTGCCATATGAAAATTTTGTTGTTGGTAAAAAAAATATTGTGGCAAAATGTCAGCCTTTTAGCTAATTTTTTAGTTAGCACTCGCGAAAGTAAAAATTTTTATAGAACTTTTTTTTAACGCAACTTTTTTTTAGATAAAAACCTATAACCTTGTAGCCACTTCCATTATTAGTATCATAGTGTAAGTTTGAAGTAGCGAGGACTTACCGTTGAATTTTTGTTGAAAGTTTCGTTAATTTTTTTTTCGTCCAACTTTGTATGGAAGAAAACGACTGACACCGTCAACAAAAAAAAAAATGGAATGATCGGATCTAAATTAAATTAGTATGGGACGTTTCCTTTAAAATATTATAGAAATCGGTTAACGTGGTTCAATGTTATGAGATCATACATAAAAAAAAAATATATATATTTTCCGACGAATTGATAACCTCCTCCGTTTTTTGAAATCGATTTGTTTCATTAAAAAATCTCTTTTTTGCGAGCGCTAACTGAAAAATGAGGATAGGGGGCTGACATTTTGTCAAAATTATTTTTTTTTGTGCCGACAATGAAGTTTTTATTTTATAGGACGGAATGAAAAAAAAAACAATCGTTTTATTTGGTACAGTCTAATATACATATGTATGTACATACAAATTTATTTTATTTACACTTTATTCATAATTTTATTCAGATATATGTCTCTTATGTGGCTAAAAATCGCATTGGAATAGTCTCATCATTGAGTGGACCCTTCGAGGAAGCTGTAATTGCTTATCTATTTTTGGTAAATATTCTACCACTACTGCTGATTCCAATACTCTGGTGGGAGGCGCGTAAGATCGCCATACTGTGGAACGATTGGGATGACTTTGAGGTATAGAGTTGTAATTTGAATTGTTTTTTTTTTTTAATAAAATTGAATAACTTTTTGTTTATCGTGCCTAGATTTTATACTATCAAATATCGGGTCATAGCTTACCATTGAATTTGTTTCGAAAAACTACAATTATTGCGATAGTTTTGCCAGTATTATCTATTATATCGGTTGTTATAACTCACATAACGATGGCAGATTTTCTATTCGTGCAAGTAAGTTAGTTAATTATAATAATTTCATATTCCTCATATAACACGCTGCCATTTTTATTTTTTTTTTGTACAAATAATGTTTGTATGCCTCACATAAATTACATTCATTTCACAGGTAATACCTTACTGCATCTTAGACAACTTGACCGCCATGTTGGGTGCTTGGTGGTTCATTATTTGTGATTGTCTCAGTACGACAGCAAATATTCTAGGCGAGCGTTTTCAAAGGGTAAATCCACAATGCAATTATTTGTAAACTGACTCGTAAAGTAGAGGGTTCAAATGCGCTCTATTTCACCTCTTATTAGGCACTTCGTCACATTGGCCCCGCCGCTATGGTCGCCGATTATCGCGCATTGTGGTTACGTCTGAGCAAATTGACACGCGATACCGGCAATGCTACCTGCTACACCTTCACATTCCTCAATCTATATCTTTTCTTTGTTATCACTCTGTCGGTTTATGGTCTTATGTCTCAACTTTCTGAAGGTTTCGGTATTAAGGACATCGGTTTGGCCATTACCGCCATTTGGAATGTATTCCTACTCTTCTATATTTGTGATAAGGCTCATTATGCCTCCTTCAATGTGCGTACGAATTTTCAGAAGAAATTACTAATGGTCGAATTGAATTGGATGAACTCAGATGCACAAACGGAGATCAATATGTTTATACGCGCTACTGAAATGAATCCGTCGAATATCAATTGTGGCGGATTTTTCGATGTGAATCGAAATCTTTTCAAAGGGGTGAGTAAAATAATAAGTACATACATTTAGGGTGTACAAAACAAAGACATTCACGAAAAAAAATTTAACACAATTTTTGGGGTCGCTAACAGATTTTAAATATTTTTTTTTTTTGAAATCGCGAAAATTCGCCAGAATGTGAACTTTGAGCTGCTATAACTCAGCGAGTTTATGAATTAATATGAATAAGTTTCAATAATATGCCGAATTTATCAGATTTCAAGTCAAATTGTTGTCTAATTTTGCGATTAAAATAATTCATTTTTTTCAAACCCTTCTAGCGACTACTAAAAATTTGTTTAAAATTTTGAAATTGTCGTGGATGTCTTTATTTTATACGCAGAACAAAATAAGGAAGTTGTGCCACACACAAAATTTAGTTATTGATATTTTTAAGAACCACCCTAATACATTTCCTTTTAAGTTAAGAAACGATATTACATATTTATTACACGTATATGCATATTTTTCATTACATTATCTAATTTTTCTTTGCAGTTGCTTACCACAATGGTCACTTATCTGGTTGTGTTGCTCCAGTTCCAGATCAGTATACCCAGTGACTCGGGTAAGCATACGAATGTTTCAATAGCTGAGCTAGTAACTGACGCGTTTATGGAAACTACCGAAGCAACTAGCACGACACCCTTAACAACAACTACAACGACTAAGGCACCACCACCCGCACGAGGTAGGAAGGGATAAGGATAAGAATAAGGAAGAAAAGTGTTTTTTTTTTTAGTGGAGATCGAAAATTTTGTATTTGAGCAAACACACAAATATTTCATATACATAAACATAATATTTCATATCAATGCAGAAATGTTGAACGTTTCGAAACTACGAAAATAAAAGGGGTTGGTGGATAACTCAAATTTCGTTAGCTGAAATAAACGGATATTTTTATGGGTAAGTCGCGTGGGTAAGTGTGTAAATTACCCCTATTATAGCAGAAGGATTGCTCTTTCAAATGAGCCTGGTTTTGAATTTGTACAAACAACAATATAAACAAGTAATTTTTAAGCAAAAAACAAACCCGACTTCAATTCTCTTATAAAAATTTAAGATTATCGTTAATTTCTTCGCGATAAAATGATCGGATTTAAACCAAATTGGTATGGGGCCACCTGTGAGGTAACATCATTTCTTTGAAAAAATGATTAAAGAAATCGGTTAACGTTTTCCCTGGCATTGCAATGAAAATTGCAAAATTTTGCAATTCCGAAGAGTCAAGGAATTTTTAAAAACCTTTCACCTGATATTTTAATATTTCTTAAGCTTTTATTATTTCTTAAGTTTCTATGAGTAGCTTTTGTTCAATATTTTTCGTTTCGTAAATATTTCAAAATTTTTATTTCAACTCAACTAAACAAACCCTTATATAAAAATTAATATCAGTGGCAACCCTTTTTTATAAATATCAGGATCTAAGAATGTGTAAATTATTTTTTCATTCTACTAAACCGTTTTCAAATAGCTTTTGTTTTGGTCTGAACTTTTTAGATTGGTGATAAATAACTTTGCTTGATACTAAAACTGTAATATTTCATTTATCTTATCAATTTAATTGAATAACATTTTTCAATCAGGTGGCAAACACCTTTAAAAATATTTTCTAAACTAAGCTTTCTGAAACCACTGTACTTGACACCCTTATAAAACACTTTATTTATCAAACAGAAATGGAAATCAAGCTTTCTTAAGCCTCTCTTGTTTTATATCCGTATCGTAATATGTTATTTATCTTCTCAGTTTCATAGAATTAAAATTTTTTAAAATATGGCAACCCTTTTCCAAAATATTTACCTTTTTAAGTATTCCTAAATCTCATTTTTTGATATCCAAATTGCAATATATTGTAAATAATTTTTTTTTATCGATTTCATTAATCGAAAATTTTCAAGCAGATGGCCACTCTTTATTTCTATTTGTTGTTGTCGTTTTTATATGCGGACCTTTCTGTTAAATGGAGTATTTATTAAAAAACTGATGTAAATTTCATCAAAATCGGTCCAGTGGTTTTTAGTAACATTACTTTTGCAACTTTACTTTTTATATAAGGAGGTATATTACATATTATGTACATACATATCGTCACCTGAAATGCAAAAAGCGTAACAAACATCATCGTAGAAATGCAAATGGTCATAACTAATAAAAAATTCACTTTTTGATTTATATGATGGATTTCATCGAATTACAACTCCCCACATCATTTTAAGAAAAAAAAAAATTAAAATATTAGTCACGACTTTTTACATTTCAATCACGACGATGTTACTACGCCTTTGCATTTCAGGTGACGATATGCTAAATAATTAAACCTTTAAAACGTTTGCTTAAAATTAAGAAAAAAAAACCCTTAGGTTCCACCGAGATTTGAACTCGGATCGCTGGATTCAGAGTCCAGAGTGCTAACCATTACACCATGGAACCGTTTGCCTTACCTTGAACAATGTGCTACCTAAGCGCACAAGTTTTGCTGTGCGCATGCTAGAGAAAATCGCGGAGCATGAGTATACACATAACAGCGCTCTCCTAAATGTATGCAACAAATCGAGATATATTTTGCCTTATTAGCGCGCTAATGTGCAATGCATTACAGGGTGATTCTAATGCAATTCTTAATTCTTTGTTGCGTACTTGCTATTTACGTACAGACATATTTACATATGTACCTATAGGGTGTTTCACGCCAAATGCCCAAATGTCCCAGCTGTGCTCAGTGGTACAAAACGAACTACTTTTCGACTGGCTGGGAAGCAAACGAAAAATGGGGAGAAAAATCGCCAAATATTATTTATATAGATTTTTGTACGGGCTATCCGATGGTGCTATGCGTTTTCCAAAATTTTTCCATTTTAACTGTGAACATTCGAAAAGATAATTTATTTTTAATTTTTCTCAATGATGGTCATTTCTAATAATGTTTTAAGTCATCTCAATCGAAATGCGAGGATTTTTACGTACGTAGAAATCATTAATAAAACAGGGAAATTTTATTTTTCCGAAATATAAAGCGTTTTAGAGGAGGAGAGGCCAGTTACCGCGAAAATGTGAAAATTTTGGAAAAACACCATCGGATAGCCTATATAAAAATCTATAGAAAACATAGTTGGTGAACATTTTTTTCCAATTTCTGTGTGTTTCCCAGCTAATCGAAAAGTAGCTCGTTTTGCACTACTGAGACATTTGACGTGAAATGCCCCATATGCACGTATGTACATACATATTTACACATATTTACGGGTATACTATCTATTATTGTAAAAAACATAGCTCAAATGCAATTGTACTCGCATCCAGCAAAAAAAATGCAATCACAAATATACGTATGTATGTACATTAGGGTGAATCACTAAAAATAGTTGCAGTTTTTCCATTGGAATCATAAAATTTGTTATAATTTAAGGCATCCCCCACATTTTTTCCGAAAAATATTTAGATTTGCGCGAGCTAGACCGATTTGGAAATACCTCAAAAAAAATTCCACTATGTATTTTGATTGCGTTGATAAAAATTTTAAAAATTTGATTGCGTTGTTAAAATTTAAAAAAATGTGTGTGCAGACTATTTGAACTTAAACAATTTTATCATATGAGGTGTTTTTAAAGAAAATATTTTTGAAAACTACATAATGTTTTTTTTATAAAAAACTATATTTTTGGAGGTATTTTCGACAAGGTCCGACTCACGTAAATATTTAAATTTTTCGAAAATATCTTAGCGAAAGTTGTATATTTCCGTTCGAAAAACAGTACAAATTTTTTATTTTTGTTTGGAGAGTGATGCGCCCTAATGTACATATTTATTTTTTAATTTTGTGCACAAGTTTTTTGATGAAAGCAAAAATTGTGAAACAAATTTTACACATACATATTTCTTCGGTTGAGCCCTGCATGACTTTGAAATTAAAGGTTACCTATAATGAAAGGGCCAAACGCTAGCTATTTTATTAGTTGACTATGAAATTCCAGGCAGGGTATATGCAAGAATTGCTCCCTTAAAATAATCCGATATACACTTTTTGTATTACATACTAATATTTTTATTGGATTCAATCGAATGAAATAGCATAAATACAGCATTTACATGCATCAGAATTAATAACATTATTAATACGTACATATCTTGCTACTCATATTTATGTATGTACTCATCCGTCTACAAAGTAGATTATTTTCACTTCACATAAATACATACATATGTGTGTATTTTCTTTATATGTATAAGGCTTTCTTAAGTATACAAACACTGCACTGCCTAAATTTGATTAAAATAACTTATCTAAATACGAAATTTGCACCTTTGGTAATAATAAAAAAAAATAGATTCGTACGGCAAAAACATAATACAAACATATTCTTACACAACAGCGTATATACCTACATACATATCTAAATATTATTTATAGCAATTAATACGAGAAAACATTAAATCATAAAATAAAATCGTTGAAGCTTTTATTTATTTCGCTCGCAGCAAAATATCACAAACTATGGTACTTTTGGTACTCGTATATCGTATAAATATTAGCAGTTATAATAATAGTAATAAGGCCGGGAATATTGCATGCCATTTACACTCATTTATGTATGTGTGTTTTTGTTTGCTTTGCTTTGCTTACAAAAAAGGCTTAGTGCTTATTGATTTGCTTTTATCAGAGGCGTGTATGTAAACGTGCGTCATAAACGAATTTTCTATGTGGTACCTATAAGGAAGGAATCACGGGATTTGAAGCAGCTCTAGCGGTTGGAGATTTCGTGTTTTTTTTTCGTGTTGTCTAAGTTATCTATGCATCTATGCATGTACACTCCTAGCTCAATTTCTAAGCAGTGCTTCTTAAAATTTACTCATTTTAATAATTGCCATCCGGCGACTCGGAGAGGATGTGCTTGTATCCATTGCTGCCGAGATACATGTTCTCGCGTCGGAAGTGGAAGGGTATCTGTAGGAGAAGATATTTAGATTATCAATATGTATTTTAAATATTAGTGGTTTATTAAGTTTTAAATTAAGCTAACCATACAAAGTCAGGCTCAGTGTCAAGGAAGGGGGACATTTTTCAATAAGAGGATACATATTTAAGGAATTTACAAGTCGCGATTTATTGTGGCCTCTACTCTTCACAACCCTTTGGCTAGTCCTACAATTTGCAGAAGTGTATGTGCTCATCCTTTGGCCACATTGAGTCTAGCCTTTCGTCTTCTTAAAACGGTCTTACAATCAAAGAACATTTGCAATGGTATCTCTTTGGATGAGTCACGAAACCGAAAGAGATCATTTGACAAGATCACTTACTTATGCAGATTAGCTCTGCAGTGATCTGTATGGATACCTGCGAGATATTCTTTAGTTTCTCTTTAGTAAAGTTAATAAGAAGCCTGTATCGCTTCACGTTGTATTCCCCGCAGTAAGCTTTTGGCTTGACAAAGTACTCTTGTGCTTCGCCAGTGTCGTTCTCTTATTCCTATTACCATTTTCCTGAGCTCGTCCCTGATGGTGTTTGGACCTACTGCAAGGAATAGCTCAGAGTTTGCGGATATAGCGACCGCCGCCCTCCTTGCTAAGTCGTTCGCTATTTCACTTTCCTCTATTTCCTTGTTACCTGGTACCAAAATTACGAGAAGGTCATTGTGTTCAGCGAGAGCTTTAAGTTCCTCAATTAGAGCTTTAAGTGCCGCTTAACTTTTACTAAGAATTAGGATAGTCTTATTAAAAAAAAGAACTG